TTGGTATGTTTAAGCACCTGTCAGTATGCCTGGAGGGAGAGGGGATAGGAGAAGGTGATGGGAGAGAGGTAGGGAGGTCAGATCACGTGGCCATAATGAAGATTCTGGCTTATTCTCTCTGAGTCGGAAAGCCATTGGAGTGACATGATCTGATTTATGCCTTAAAAGGAACTTTCTGACTACTGTCTTCTTTGATCTCTTTTCTCTTTCTCTCTACCCTGCCTCTACATCTTTCTCCTTAGAAAGCAGGGGTAGCTCAGGAAATGATTATCTGTTGGATTTGATGAAGTCTTGGTTAGTTCTGATCCTGGCACATGAAGGGTCTCCTAGCTCTTGATTCTATTATTTTTGGGGACCTGGAACCCTTCATGAGGCTTCAGTCTGCATGAGGACTGACCAAGCTGTCCATTTCATGACCAGCCCTGGGTCCTACCAGAAGGCCAGTGTTATACACACTTCAAAAGAGCACCCCAGAGCTTTGTTCTCCTCTTTGAAGACACATTCATCTATTTATGAATCATTTGTGCCACGGTGATAATGTGCTTTCTAAATGCTGATTCATGGTCTAAAAGCATCACATACACACTACCTTCAGCTTGGGGGAAACTATATTACTTGTTTTTTTTTTTTAAGATTTTATTTATTTTGAGAGAGAGCGTGCAAGCAGGGGGAGGGTTAGAGGCAGGAGAGAGAGAATCTCAAGCAGATTCCATGCTGAGCGCAGAGCCCAACACGGGCCTGATCCCATGACCCTGAGATCATGACCTGAGCCGAAATCAAGAGCCCAAAGCTTAGCCAACTGAGCCACCCAGGCACCCTATATTACTTGCTATTTTTAATGTGTTTGCATCAAAGTAGGAATATTGCATTTTTTTCTTATGTGGGGGCATGTATGACAATGTGAAGGTCATTTTCCCTTTTTCAAGAATGGAAATAACACCTCTTAAATTGAGTTCTGTTGGTCTTTTGTCACCCCCAGTATCTTTTTGACCATCAATTGCATAAGCTATTACCCTCTGTGAGGATATTCTTAATGCTGTATGTAGTATTAATTTCTCTTAGGCATTTTCAACAGAAATCTTCTGTTATATGCCCTCCTTTACCAAATTATTTTGTCATCCATGAGAATGAGTCAGTGGTACTATGACTTTTTACTTTCTCAGCTTTTATTTTCCTAAACACAGTGTATATAGTGAACAGGTAGGAGTCTGAGGAGTTAGGAAACAAATTATGCTGGATGTTCAACCCCCAATATGACAGGTGACTTTGGGTGAGGCATTTAACTCATGGAGCTTCTGTTTATCTATTGACCAAAGGATGGATATGATCCTTTGGATCTGACCACCTTGGACAATTATTAGAATTGAATGCTACGGGCACTTGGGTGGCTCAGTTGGTTAAGCGACTGCCTTCGGCTCAGGTCATGATCCTGGAGTCCCGGGATCGAGTCCCACATTGGGCTCGCTGCTCAGCAGGGAGTCTGCTTCTCCCTCTGACCCTCTTCCCTCTCGTGCTCTCTGGCTCTCATTCTCTCTCTCTCAAATAAATAAATAAAATCTTTAAAAAAAAAGAATTGAATGCTATTGTGGACATCAGAACATTCTGATATGTTGAAAGCACTGTATGAGTATGAGGTTGTGGTGTTATCTTTAGTTCTACTTTGTGATCTATGAAGAGCATGCATTACTTGAATCATTTAAATCATACTTAGGAAAACCCAAATTGGTGAAAATAAGAAAAAGTTTAAAGCAGAGGCTGAAAGATTAAAAAAAATATATCTGGCAGACATACGACTTATATTAATTCCACAAATTGGCTTCGGGCTTAAACTAGGAAATGCATAAATTAAAAAAAATTCTCAATAAATATTTTCCCCCAAAACTCTGAATCTTATGATAGGGAATTTTGTGCTGTGTTTTGGATAGAACTTTCTTATTTGATGTTAATTGACTAAGGATATTGTAAAATGATACTCATTTAATCTTTATTGGAAAATTTGGTTTCAGAATTTGGAGGTTTGTTCAGCAGCACAAATGAGGAGCTTAATGCTAACACTGGAAGGATTTTAAAATAATCTACAGCAAGCCTGGTTTGTAGCATCTGTTTGGGGCCAAGGTGTTTGAGAATGCAGTAAAGAGTCTTAAGCCTTAAGTCATCTCGATCTGTTGTTAAAACCAAGTGGTAGGAATTCAAAAATATTTAAAAGGCAAATCTCCCAGTAATCCATTATCTGAAAAATGGTAGCAGTAGTTGGTTACTTCATGTCATTGCTTTGTTGGGAAAAACTTATATAACTTTGTCTATAGGCACATCATATCCTCCCTCACCAACTTTTTCCTAGCTGTAGTAATAATATTCCCTGGGCATTTAAGCTTGGGCAGGCAGTGCAGAGAACCCACGAAAACATAGCCACTTTCTTCCAGAAGCTTCCAATCTAATGAAAACTGGTAAGTTCTCTTCCTCAGATCCATGTTTTTATTCTTGAACTATTTTCCTTCAAATACTATTATGAAAGAAAAATGTCCTAAATAAAATCTCCAATAACATTGTAGGGGAGTTATCTATTTTGCCAGAGTATGCAGCTCAAAAATCTTTTCCCTGAGATTTTATCTTATTTATATAGCTCAAATCAGCACACTGAAGAATTCTTTCCCCTGAATGTAGACTTGAATCAGAGATAAGTAAAGAATCCCTCTTGCCATCCAGGATGTCTTTGCCTACTTGAGTGGCTGGCAGGTATGTTTAGAGGAGAATCTTTTTAAAATTATCTGATATGGGGACCACACTCCCCCCCAAAATTATATGGTTCACACATTGATTAGATATGATCATTTAGCTTAGGATTATCCCCCAAGGTGCCTCCCCATCCCTCCATAAGCAACATCAGGGCTCTTCCTAAGATACTTATGGAGTCAGGCCCATGTTTGGAAGGCATTTTAGCCTCAGTTTACTACTTTTTAGTAGGAGGAAGAGAAATGAGACCAATCAAAGACTTTGCCTTATTTGTTTGGAAAGGAGTGAGCAATAGGACAGAAATGATGTTTTAGGAATGATACAAAAAACATAGCATTAATCTTGCCAAGGTGAGGAATTGTAAAGCTTCTTTCCCAGTGGATAACCAATACTATTCATGATAATAATAATTTTACTATTATCTATTTTTTTTAAAGATTTTATTTGTTTATTTGAGAGAGAGAGAATGAGAGCCAGAGAGCATGAGAGGGAAGAGGGTCAGAGGGAGAAGCAGACTCCCTGCTGAGCAGGAAGCCCGATGCGGGACTCGATCCCGGGACTCCAGGATCATGACCTGAGCCGAAGGCAGTCGCTTAACCAACTGAGCCACCCAGGCACCCATACTATTATCTATTAGTTATTGGAAATTTACTGTGTGTTAGACACTAAGCTAATGGCTTTACTTCCATTTTTCTCTTTTTATCCTCTTAAAACTCTATGAAACAGGAGCTATTCAGGAAAAGTCAGGTAACTTATCCAAGATCACACTGTTGATATGTGGCCAAGCTAGTCTTTCCATCTGCAAAATTCCCGCTTTTAGCCATTCTACAATATTCCTCTCTATGGAAATGATTCAATATTTGAATAGGTTTAAAAGACCATAAACATCAACTTATAAATCTGCATCTTATCTGAAAATATTATGATGGATTTCTTTGGTTAAGGAAAATCTGCAAGGGGTTAAGGTGAATTTCCTCCACTTCACTGAGGTTTTCAGATTTTTTTTCAACATAGAACTCCATTCCTGACAAAACCAGGATGGCTAGGTGGACAGATTGTTCTTTTAAATTTCTTTTCATTTTGGTATTTCATGATCCCTCAGTGTTCTTGGAACTTTTGCAGAGCTCATACGAAGTATTCACTATTCATTTTGCCCACGGTGACTCCCAGTAGTTCCACATACCTGTTTCTCTGTTTCTGCAATGACAATAATATTTTTCCTTTCTTCCTGGGGACACTATAAGCAACTATTATATTAGGGCAGAACATCATAGCTATAAGTGCTTTAAGTTTGTGAGAAAGACCAGAAACAAAAATCCAAGTTACCATTGTCATCCAACTTACTTACATTGTGGTGCAAAAATGGCAAGGCTCTTAGGGAAGTTCTGTGGCACACTTAGCTTTATTGAAATTGAACAAATATTTTTAATAATCCCTTTGACAGCACATGTAAAATTTAAGTTTTTCATTATATTTTTACAGGTTGTCTTTTATCTGAGTAAGCAAAAATACGTCTTTTATTTATTTTTTCTTACTTAAAACATGTAGCCAGGATTCAAACCACGTAGCTCTGGTACCAAAAAGGCAACGGGTTATGAAAATCACAGTACAATTTTAAAATTCTTTAAGTTAGTTAAGGATATTTAAAACAATATTCACTTGATTGACAGTAGAAATCATGGGTCATTTGACATTAGGACTAGTAGTTACACCTACAATGAGAGCAGAAATGGAAAGTTCAAGCTAATATGAGCTACACCATTCAGGACACACCATCTCCATAAATACTGTGGCCGAGAGGTTGCAATAGCTAAGTCACACTTGAGCAGTTAAAGTCACACGTAAATATAGCTAAAGCGAAAAAAATACAGTGTGCTGATCGGGATCTAAAATAAAATGGGCATTTATTTTTAAGAGGGTATACTATCAAATCAGTTACACGACACACAATTTAAACCCCCAAATTACATTTAGGAAAGAAAAATAATATTAAATTGCACACCTACACGGACAGTAAAGTAGAAATATGTTCTTTGTGGTTGGTGTTTATTTTCTGTTGTTTTTTTCTCAATAAGTAGAAATAATTTACGACCCACAAAAGGATTTCTCAGGTGAAACACTAATTACAGACATTGTAAAGAACTGTAGCTCAGACTCTGTGGCTCAGAGTACTTGTTTTAAAAACGAGGCAGCATTTTCCTGAAAAATTTTGGTCCTTGACTCACTATAGGCTAGTCACTATGGTCAGATGGTAAGCATTTTCCGTGTGTGTGTGTGGTTTAAGCTAACTTTTCAGTACCAGAATTAGTCAAAACCAGACCAAACCAAAGACAAATAGCTTTCGAGAACTTGACCTTGCATATCATGTCTAATTAATACATCATCTGAAAGAACAATGCTAAAGACTATAAAGGGAATTATGCTCACATGATTCTGCAACACCTTAATTTTGTGCAAACATTTTCCTTCATTGCCCAGATAACTTATCTTTATTCATGTAGGTGCCAGGAAACCTGCTCTCATAATCTTCCCGCCCCCCTCCCCCGGTCTCCTCCTCTGTCAAAGTGATATAAAGACAATTTCACTGTGTATTTACAAGCACAACAGTTAGGCAAGAAAGTCCAGGGTCTGAAGGGCACATCTATTTCTTGTGAACATCTTCATGCCGAATGATCTTGTATGTGATCCAGTAAAAGATGTTGAAAATGAGGAAGGCCAACGGGAAGGCAGCTCGAGATATCGTGTCAATCCTTTTTGCCCGGTCCACAAACTTCTTCTTGATGGCATCTGCATCTTTTGGGGGTTGTGGGAGCGGGTTGGCAGGTGTGGCCTTGACAGCTGTTCCATCTTTCACTTGGAGGCAGTGACCCATCCCATAACCACTGAAATTAAAACGACTTTCACGAGTAACATCTTCTTCCTGGGAGAATAAAGACAGAGGAAGCACAGATTGGTTGTCAGTCAAATCAGATGGAAGATGCTTAAAATTCTTCAGAAGTAAAAGGATAAATCACAGTTAACTGGTAGTGTGGGAGGCTTTTGGAATGTGGAGTTCTCTTTCAAGTTCAACTCAATTATTCATGGAACAGATACAGTTTATTAACTTTCAGGCTGAGAAATTAAGAGTAAGAATAGCGACTTTGTGGTCATTTTAATTAACAAACAAACACATTATATTCAGCACTGACTTTCCCAAAATCTAGTTTATTAATCCATAACTTTGAATGGACTGTTGTAAAGCCAAGCCTCCAGATCCAAATATTATACTCTACATGTATATAGAGGACCATTTGTTCATTTACTCACTTACACATCATTCATTCATTCAAAAAATCATTTACTGAATCCCTGCTGTGTACCTGGCCTTGAGCTAGGAAATTTTAGAAATTTTAAATTTTTCCTAAATTTAGGAAAATTTAGCTAGCAAATTTGTGGCCCATTCACAGCCTAGTTCCTTCCATTAACATTGGCTTTAATGTTAATGTTAGACCTAAGATTAAGCCCCTAAATGTATACCTGTTTCCCCTCCAGTCCTCTAGTTCATCTCAGCTATATATCAGAGATTAAACATTCACTATGTGGTGCTGAATATTTCTACCATGGCTAATTGTCTGGTGTCAATTTTTTTTAGGCAATCTAATTTTTTAAATTGTTTTTTAAAGATTTTATTTATTTATTAGAGAGAGAGAGAGAGAAGGAGCAGGGGGAGGGGCAGAGGGAGAAGCAGACTCCCTGCTGAGCTCAATCCCAGGATCCCGGATCATGACCTGAGCTGAAGACAGATGCTTAACCAACTGAGCCACCCAGATGCCCTAATCAAGTGTTTTATTTTATTTCCTGTATTGTGAGCATGAAGTATTATATTAATGTCAAATGTGCAATACAGTGATTCAGCGATTTTCTACATTACTCAGTGCTCATCATGATAAGTGTACTCTTAATCCCCATCACCTGTTTCACCCATCCCCCCACCCACCTCCCCTCTGGTAACCATCAGTTTGTTCTCTAGAGTTAAGTCTGTTTCTTGGTTTGTCTCTCTCTCTTTTTTTCCCTTTGCTCATTTGTCTTGTTTCTTAATTTCCACATATGAGTGAAATTATATGCTATTTGTCTTTCTCTGACTGACTTACTCACTTAGCATTATACTTTCTAGCTTCATCCATGTCGTTGCAGATGGCAAGATTTCATTCTTTTTTATGGCTGAGTAATATTCCACTGTGTGTGTGTGTGTGTGTATCTATATATATATCACATTTTCTTTATCCATTCATCTATTGATGGACACTTGAGCTGCTTCCATAACTTGGTTATTGTAAATAATGCTGCTGCAAACATGAGCATGCATGTGTCCCTTTGAATTAGTGTTTTTGTAATTTTGGGGGACATACCTAGTAGTGTAATTGCTGGATCATATGGTAGTTCTATTTTAACTTTTTGAGAAACCTCCATGCTATTTTCCACAGTGGCTACACCAGTTTGCATTCCCACCAACAGTGCACGAGGGTTCCTTTTTTCTCCACATCCTCACCAACACTTGTTTTCTAGTGTCAATTTTTAACATTGATTGTTTTGTTAGTTATTTATCTCTACCATATTTAAACATGGGTCATTTTAACAGATGTCAGTGGTATTTTATGCTGATTGTTTCTATGTGAATTAAATAAAACACTAAAAAACTGCAACCTCAGGGTAAAGTGCAAATAGCCTTAGTAGAATCAAATGTATGGAATCGTGGTGTGTGGTTGAGTAAAAATGGTGGAGTTGGAAAGGTGGGATTGAAATGAACTGCTTAATAAAAATTTAGTTCTAGGGGCGCCTGGGTGGCTCAGTCAGTTAAGTGACCAACTCCTGGTTTCGACTCAGGTCATGATCTCATGGGTCGTGAGATGGAGCCCTGTGTCAGGCCCGCGCTCAGTGCAGAGCCTGCTTGAGATTCTCTGTCTTTGTTCCTCCTCCCACTTGCTCATATTCTCACTCTTTGCCTCTCCCTCTCTCCCAAATAAATAAATAAATAAATAATAAAAATAAAAATTTAGTTCTAAATAACCATCGATTGAATCTTCTTTTGAAATGAGTTAACTGCCTTCCACAATACTGTTCAACCCCTGGGAGTTACCAAAAGCACTGCACTCTTTATTTTGCCAGATAATACCAAGGCTTATGTTTCCCAAAACACAAGAAAACTTGGTATGAATTTTATTTTATCAGTGTTTATTGCATATCAATTGTGCCTTCAGCCACATGTAAAAGATATCTTGAGTGAAGTACTTGAACATAGTATGAATGAGAGCCCAACTGTAATCCAAATGGTATAGCAAGGACAAATTTATGTCAGGAAAATCAGGCCAAAGCTCTTATAATAAAGTAACTGTAAAGCTACTCCTTTATAAAATCATCTCCCTGGTACTTTTCTTTATATAGGATTGTTCTATACAAGTTGGTTTAAGACACTCCATCTCATTTCTTAACAAAATATAACAAAGGATTTTTCATGCAACAATGAATTATTGAGTGCTGAGTCTATGGCAGGCATTTTGCTAGGTCCTCAGAAACAGTTGATGAAGTTGCACAAGAACCCTACTTGCATGGAGCTTTCAGAACCCAGTGGAAGTGTTCAACGTAAAGACATTATCATATAAGGAAGCTGGCTAAGAAAACCCAGCCTGACATTAGAGTACTTTGATGTACCCAGCTATATAAGCTCAATAATGAAGACTTTAATTGGACTCAGATTCAAATATTGAATCTGTTTTCTTTGTCTTAAAATGTGAATGATATATTTTATAGATGCAAAAGTTTTAAATAAGCGAAGTATTTAAAAATGTGGAATAAACATATTAATTATTACAATGTTATCAGAAGATTTATTCAGTACTTAGCAAGAAAGGAAGCACACAGGTCATTAGGGGGAGGGGACTTGGGAGTCACATGGGTTATAGCTGTCTTGAACTTTCTATTACTAACTGGTAATTAGATCTCAACTACTGAGTGAGAGAAGTAGAAACAGTGCCGGTTGGTTTAGTAAACAGAGATACAGACTAGGAATTTGGATATTTGGATATTCACAGGCTCCAAGTGTTGTAAGCTGTATTGATCTTAAGCAAGTTATTTATTCTTTAAAGACCTCAGGGGGTCTCCTGGGTGGCTCAGTCAGTTAAGCATCCTACTCTTGATCTCAGCTCAGGTCTCAATCTCAGGGTTGTGAGTTCAGGCCCCATGCTGGGCTCCACACTGGGCATGGAGCCTACTTAAAAAGAAATAAATGAATTAATTAAATAAAGAACTCAGGGACCTCATACCAAAAATGTCAAGGCTGGACTAGATCTGTGGGTCTCAGCTTTGACTGCTAGGGAACTTTTACAAGTATATGCATGCCTGCCTCCCCTCCAAACCCCTTCCAGACCAAATGAATTAGAATTTCTAGGGAGATTTAAAATCCAGTGACTCAGGCGCCCGGCTAGCTCAGTCGGTAGAGCATGAGACTCTTAAAATCCAGTGACTCTAATGCAGAAGGTTGGAAACCAGTGACCTAGGTGAGCTTTAAGGTCCAGCTCTAAAATGCTGAACCTATTCTATATTATTAAGTCTAAAATTACTTTTCGAATGGGAACTATTCCTCAAAGTACATTTCCCCTTATCTGCCTAAACTTACTGTGCTGTTTTTCCTTTCCATATCTGGAGAATCTTGCAAATTGCTGTTCTCACCTCTATAAACATTTAGAAACTCATGATTAAGCATATAGATCACTGCCTGAGTGAGATAAGATTCTTTTTAAATTCCTGGATCCCTGAAGAAATAGAAAAGGTAGTTAGCTGGTAACCTGCTTTAGAATGCAAAACAAAAGGAAACCTAAATACCCACATCCATGTTTCTTTTCAGACTGACTCATTCATTTAATTTCTATAGCTTTTCCTCACAGACTGTGAATGGACAGCCGAAGAGATTAACTCATTCAATTAAGTACAGAGCTAGAGCAGAATGATGCCAGGTTAGGTTATCATTAAGTTGTACATTGCCTGGCAAACTGTGGCAGCTTAATAAACGTTTGTTGAGTAATGAACAAAAGGGAATTTTAAGAGGGCTTTTTTTTATTCTTGAAAATACTTTCTTCATTCATTCAACGGTACTTCAAATTATGCCTCGGAGCATAGTTAGAGCTAATTAAATCCATTCTTTAACATTCTCCACCACAAAAATAAGTTTGTCATAGGTAGAAATTATCCATTTAATTTTTTCACATGCAGAAGATATGAATGCTAGTTTAAGGGCCTTCTTATTTACCATTATGACTCATTCAATGCATTTTAAACATAGAGCCTTAAATTATCCACATCAAAGGGTATGGTTTTGATTCAGAAAACATAATTGCAACCAGTTTGAATTTTTGTGTTATAATGAATGACTAATTGCCTTTATAGCAGGTTCAGAATAAAATGTTGTGGTAATATGGCAAGATTCCTATATGAGGGTAAAACGGAGATGAGCTTGAGTCATGGTTAAGCTGAAGCTAAAAGAAAGAACAATCTGTAGGCACAGCTTAGTTGAACATATTAACAGGGAGAATCAGATCTTCCCTGTAAGGAAAGAATTTTAGACATATACTCTCCACTTCTTCTAATTAGCCGGGAAACCAATTAGTTAAGTATTGCTGCTGACCCACCATCTTCAGGAACTTTGAACAGTAAATACTTGCAGATCCCTCTGTTTTGTTATTCACTGATTAAATTTCCACAGAAAATGAATCATCCAAATCTTCAAGACGTTCAATTTCTATATCCCACTTTGAGAAAAATCTCCTTAAATCCTATCCTGCCATATGAAGCACTGTCATGGCACTATATAATTCATTTGAGATTTATTTTATTTAATTCATGCCTCAGTTTTACTTACTGTAAAATTAATTCATTCCTGTATTTGGA